GTGTGTGTGTGTGTGTGTGTGTGTGTGTGTGTGTGTGTGAGTGTGAGAGAGAGAGAGAGAGAGAGAGAGAGAGAGAGAGCGCATGTGAGCTTGACACAAGCTAGAATCATCAGGGAGGAAGGAGACTTAGTTGAGGGAATGCCTCCACGAGATCCAGTTGTAAGGTATTTTCTCAATTAGTGATTGATGGAGGAGGGCCCAGCCCATGGCAGGTGGTGCCATCTCTGAGCTCTGGTAGGCCTGGGTTCTATAAGAAAGCAGGCTGAGCAAGCCAGGGGAAGCAAGCCAGTTAGCAGCACCCTCAATGGCCTCTGCATCAGCTCCTGCCTCCAGGTTCCTTCCCTGCTTGAGTTCCTGTCCTGACTTCCTCCAATGATGGACTATGACCTGGAAGTATAAGCCAAATAAACCCTTTCCTCCCCAACTTGCCTTTTGGTCATGGTGTTTTGTTGGAGCAATAGAAACCCCAACTAAGACAGAATCTCACAGACAGCCATGTGATTGTGACGGGGGGCAGCTGAGCCCCTAGTGAGCTGAGGTGGTCAGTAGGTCAGATTCATTTAATGCATTTTCCACGAATGATACTTTTGATGTCTTGTTGAGACAGGATCTCAGTATGTAGCTCTGGCCTTCCTGGAGCTGGCTATGTAGACCAAATTGACCTCAAACTAACCGAAATATACTGACCCCTGCTTCCTGAGTGACGGGATTAAAGGTTTGCACCACTAAACCTAGCTTGACATTTTCTATGTATGATGAGCCCACCAGGCCACAGGCCCATCAGAGGTTGATGAACAGATGTATTGTGGGGATTAAATAAGTCTACCCATGCAAACTGCTTGCAGAGGTGTCCGAGCTCCAGATGTGTTCGGTTGGCTCAGTATTTGTCTATGTGCAAAACCGTAGGTCTGAGCACCCAAAAGGGTGCAACAACAAAACTCTATAATCCAGCGTTTGAGAGGTAGAGACAGGAAGATCAGGAGTTCAAGATCATCCTTGGTTAAATAGTAAGTTTGAGTCTAGCCTGGGCTGTAGAAGACCCTATCCTAAAACAAACCAACAAAAAACTAACATTAAACAGAAATACAAAATAGCAAAACCAGTGTCTATCTTGCCACAGTAGTTGAAGTTATGATAATGGGAATCACCATTATCGTCTTTATTATTATTGTGTGATGTGGAGGGTGCTTGTGTTCCACGGCCAAAGGATGGAGGTCAGGGGACAACTTTGGGGAATTGGTCCTTTATTTTAACCCTGCTGAGGGGTGTCTTTTTTATTTTTCTTGTCATGCTGTATACTCCAGGCTAGCTGGTTAAATAGCTTCAAAGTGATTCCCCTGTCTCTGTCTCCCATCTTGCTGTAGGAATGCCGGGGTTTAAATGCATACTACCACATCTGGCTTTTTCCAGGGGTTCCTGGGATCAGACTCAAGTCATTAGTCTTATGCATCAAGCCCTTTTGCAGGCTGAGCCATCTCGCTGACCCTGGCAAACCCGTACAGTTGAAGTGTTAGCTTTTAGTAGGAGACAGGCAGAGCCTGCCTGTGTGAACATCGGCCTCCAGGAACTCCATTCTAGAGCTGATTCCTGTCCAGGCACTGCTTCACACAGTAAAGGCCATCCACCTGCCTCGAGTCTCCTCTCTGTAAAACATTGCTGCTGATACCCACCGCCTTGCAAAGCTGTTGTAAGAATCAACCAGACAGTGCATGACTCGGCAGGGACATGCTCTGTAATGTCCTCAGAGCAGGGGCCATGGGACGGGTAACATCTCTGACTTGGGTTCTTCCTTTTGACTGACAGCTGAGTGCAGCTGTCCCCTGAATGTCGCCCTTAGGCAATGCTACCCTCATCCCCACAATCCGCGCCCAATGACGCTATTCTTGCTCCCTGCCGATCATATCAAGATGATCCAACCACAGTCCATGCTAACTCAGATGAGGGAGCCAGTGGATTCTTCTCTTAGGGTGACATACATCTTTTACGGCAGGCTTTCTGGACACATGGGGCCTATGTTAGAAATATAACTCAAATGGACTGCGTTTGGGGCTGTGGGGGCATCCCTTGCTATGCCTCAGTCAGCCATCCCTCATCTACCTCCACATAAACACTCTCCTGAACTATATCCCTCCCTGCATCCCCTCATCACACAGAAGCCAGGAAGCTTTTGTTGGAGGAGGCACAAGGCATAGCTTTATGAACCCACCACCTCCCGAGAACTTGGTAAAGCCATAATAACATTGTTTATGAAGCATCTGGCATGTGTGGAGACTTTGTCTATCTTAATTCATTTGGTTTTCATATAAGAAGACAGGGTCTGTGGCTTTAAAAAAAACTATAATAAAACCACATGGTACGAACTTTACCACATTAGTCACATTTAACTGTGTATTTCAGTGGTATGCAGTGCGCTCACATTGTCACGTGACTGCCCCCTCCCTCCTTCCACAGAAAGGTGGTCATTTTGGGAAACTGAAACCCAGCACCCACAGAACAGTGACCCTGACTCCGCCCCAGCTTCTGGCAACTCCCACTGTGTCTTCTCTCTCCTCTCTGTGACTATTTTAGAGCTGTAAACAGGATTGTAAAACACTGTCTTTTTGTATCTGCCGTAATTCACCTGGCATAGTGTCTTCACCCAGGTCATGGTATGAGTCAGACTTTTTTTTTTCCTAGGCTGGATAATATCCCATTACCTGTGCGTACCACATGTGTTGACCCACTCATCTGTTGATGGCACTTACATTACGTCTATCTTTTATGGATGACGCTGTTATGAACACAAGTGTGCTAATGCCTCTTTGCTCTAATTTTTCCATTTTCCTGTGTGCATGTGTGGTGTGCATGTGTATGTCTGTATGCATGTGCAACTGTATTCATGTGTATGTATGCTTGTATATATTCATGCATGTATGCATGCATGTGTGTGTATGCATGCATCTGGTTGGGTGGATATGCACCTACGTGCATGTAGAGGTTGAAGGATGGTGTTAGGAATCATCTGTAATAGCTCTTAGTTGAGGCAGGGTTTGTTAATCAAACTCAAAGCTACCGATATGGCTGGCTTTGCTGGCCGGCTTGCTCTGGGCATCTGTGTTCACCTTTCAAGGCTGAAACTGCGGGTGCATTGCCACAACCACCCAACATTTGCACGGGTTTCATGGGTTCTGGGGATCTGAACTCTGGTCCTTAGTCTTGCACTTTAGCTGAATAATCTTCTCAGCCCTAAATTCTTGTTTTTGATTTTTTGGGGACACATACTCAAGTAAATTGTCTAGGTCATATGATAATTATATTTTTGTATGTGTTTGTGTGTGTGCACTTACATGTGCCTGTTGTGTGTGTGTTTGTGTGTGTGTGTGTGTGTGTGTGTGTTTATGCATATGTGTGTATGTGGAAGCCAGGGGTCAAACTTGGGTGTCATTTATTCCTCAGGCACTGTCCATCTTGCTTTTTTCTTTTCTTTTCTTTCTTTCTTTTTCTTTTTCTTTTTTTTTTTTTGCAAACATATGGATGTACAGTATGGATGTATTTGCATGTGTGTGAGCACATGTGCATGTGTGTGTTCTTGACTATGGAGGTCTGAAGCTGATGGTACATGTCCTCCTCAGTTACTCTGCATTTTTTCTATCTAGGCAACATCTCTGGCCTAGACCTGGAGTTTGCCGATTCTGGCTGGTCTGGCTAGCGGTTTGCCCGGAGGATTGCCTGTCTCTGCCTCCTGAGTGCTGGGATTACAAGTGGCCACCATCCCTGCTTGACATTTACCTGAGTATTAGGGATCTGAACTCTTATGCATGCCAATGGAGTGGAAACACATGAAAACTCACCTTCTTCACCTGAATTACATTGATCATTACTGGGGGATAGTAAAGTCATGTCCTCCTTGTTCCCCCAAACAAACATCATTTCCCTGATGACACCCCAAAGAAGTGTAGCCAGAAGTTAATGATGAACCATGGAAAGCCCACCCTACAGAAAGACCCACAAAATCATTGTTCCTTTGATGATCAAGTGTCTAGTTCAAAAGAAACCAAAACGGTTATGAATTGGAGAAGTCTGACGGTGTGTGAGGTCGAGGGGAGAGGAGGCCCCTGGACGGGTGCTTTCGCTGTAGGGGTTTCACCTACGCGGTGGGGTGGTGTTTGAAGTCACCAATGCTAATTTCTTCTTTGTGACAAATGTGTCTTGGCTATGACAGAGGGTTCTAGATGACCGACACACTCAAGCATTTGAAAGTGATCGTGTTCTAGTTTGCATTCTACTGTTGTGATGAAGACCGTGGCCAGAAGCACCTTGAAGAGGAAAGGGATAATTTCATCTTCTGGCTCGCAGTTGGTCATGAAGGGACTGAAGCAGAGACCACGGAGGAACACTGCTCACTGACTTGACCTATGGTTTGCTCAGCTTCCTTTCTCAGACAGTTCAGAACCACCCGTCCAGGAGTGGGTGCCACCCAAGGTGGCCTGGGCCCTCCCACATCAATCGTGAATCAAGAAAATGGTGCAAAGACTGGCCTATAGGCCAATCTGATGGAAGCATTTTCTAAGTGAAGGTTCCCTCCTCCTTGATGACCCTGGCTTGTGTCAAGGTGACAGAAAGCTCACCAGAACAGATGGAGTACCGTGTGAGCCACCTATCCCCCAAACGAATTTATTTTTTAAGATCCACAGCTTTGTGGGAAGCAAGAGTCTAGGCCTGGAGGGGCCGGTCCTTTGTCTCTACCCACCTGTAGGCTCTGAGCATCCTGGCAGACGTCATAGTTGAAACCAGAGGTGGTGTGCGCAGTCTACACTGTTCTGGGCATTTTGCTAGACAATTTCGGGAGCCTTTGAATATGGAGCATGGATTTATTCCTGTCCAGAATACCAAAATGACAGTCTGGGCTATCTGTTTGTTTGAGAAACAAGAGTGTGGCTGGAGAAGAGGGGCAGAG